AAAACAAAATTTTTACACTTACACAAAAAAATTACTGGAACAACAATCGATTTCAAACCCACAACAAACCACAAACTATACTAATAAACCTCTAACGAATATTTAACTATTTTTTTATAATTTACTAATGACAAATGAAGGGAATTATTGAAGGAAAACGATATATAAATTGTAAACGATATGAAGTGACGATTAGGCCTGTAGGGGGCGCGAATTCGGTTGGGGATGTGACAAGTCTTCATAACGGTTGTCAACATTGGTCGGGTCTTGGGGTTACACGCTAAGAGGCTGACTGGCTGGCGGAGCAGGGAGGTCGTATTTCACCTCATAAGACACTGATTATCGTCTCTTTCGTCACGGTCCAAGTCTTATTCATCCAGTTGACGGTAATTCATCGACTATGTCTCATCTGTCTGTTCCTCTCTCGATATTATTCAGTGTGTAGAAGGTGTATTTATGTATGAGTCGTATGTAAACTATATATATACAGTATATATATCGTATACTTGTTAGGTGTGTATTTTATGCGTCTATGCATATGTATTGTGTATATTTGTGTATGTGAAACGTAAAATTGAGTGTATTATAATTTATAGAAAACCGAACGAAAATATGCCCAGGAAATAATGATCTTTCAGAGACTTTAACACTGCCGTAAGTAGGTGTCCCAGCCAGGCCCCAGTTCAGATAGAGCCCATAAACTTAACTTACACTAACCATTAAGATCGGGCCCCTGTTCTAATGGGCCCCTAATCCTCATTTGTACAGTTGTGGTGGTGCTCTCTCTCCCTCTCTCTCTCTCTCTCTCTCTCTCTCTCTCACCCCGGCACACGACGTCTCAGCTCTGGTCTGCCACGCTCAGTTGGGCGGAAAGATAGTGCCTTACGTGTCTCTGCCACCTGCCACCCACTGCCACCACCCCCTGCCTCCCTCTATTTACCGCTGCCACCCAATCCTATTCGCTGATACCCATTGCCATCTCCCTGCCACCCAAATGCCACCCACTAACACCACCTACCACCACTTACCACCCCGTTCCACCCACTGCAACCCCCCACAGTTACTACCACTACTACCACCACCACCACAACCACCCCCTACCACGTTAATTAGTCACCGTTCCTCCTAACAACGGATCGTTAGCAGTAAATGGTGTCTGATGGCTCGTGTATTTAAAGTCCTACTGAGTCGTTTAGTCGCTGTGGTGCGTGTGGTGCGTGTGGGTGCGTGTAGAGGGGTATGGGTACGTGTGGATGCGTGTGGAGGGTTGTGGGTGCGTCTGGATGCGTGTGGAGGGTTGTGGTAGCTGCGTGTGGGAAAGGTGTGGGTGCGTGTAGCGGGTGTGGGTGTGCGTTAAGGCGTGCGTGTATGTGGCGAGTGTAGAAGTGCGTGCAGGTGCGTCACAGTAGGCAGCTCGCGCGCCTCTCTCCCAAGATGAGACCACCTCCCTCACTTCTCAGGCTTCCTCACCCCACCCCTCACCCCACCCCTCACCCCACCCCCTCACCCCACCCCTCCTCCCTCACCCCACCCCCTCCTCCCTCACCCCACCCCCCTCCTCCCCTCCTCCCTAAGGTTATAACTTAAGGAAAATGAAGAATCAGACAATTACACCTCCCTGCCTCCTGTGAGAGAGAGAGAGACTGACTGACTGGCACCTATAAGTCATCACAGCCTCTGCACTATACACCTCTACGTACAAGTACACACACACACACACACACTATCATTGACTCCTGATAAAATAAACCGTTCTCTCCTTCACCCTGAACTAACTCCTTCGTCAGATTATAACATGACCTAGCAGCCCCCCGCCGCCTAAACCATATTTGGTGACGCTAAGGAACAGCTGAGGCCTTTGGTGACGCTCGTGTGACGCTGGTGTGACGTAATGAATATATGAGGTTAATCACTGATGACTGGGTGGTTCCTTACGGGGAGAGAGAGAGAGAGGGAGAGAGAGAGAGAGAGAGACCTTAAGGAGAGGATGGACAGAAGGAGACAGGCTGGGACAGACACCCATACGGACCCACTAATTACTCTTCCACTGATGACCAGCATCCGGGAGGAGGGGAGGGGAGGTGAGGGGGAAGGAGGGAGGAGGGAGGGAGGGGAAGAGAGAGGTGAGGGGGAGGGAAGGAAGGTGAGAGAAAAGGAAAGAGACAGAGGGAGATAGGGAGGAGGAAGCAGGGATGAAATAAGGGAGGAAACAAGGAGATAATCTGAGAGAGAGAGAAGAGAAGCCATCGATTCCTTTACGTCCAAGAGTTCTTCCGTCTGTCTATCTGTCTATTTCTCTCTCTCTCTCTAGTTATCTATCTATCTCTCCCTCTCCATCTATCTCTCCTTCCAAGTCGTAGTGAGAGATCAGGCAGTGAGACACACGAAGCAGTGACCAAAACAGGAAGGTGTGAGGGAGGGGAGAGAAGAACGGTGCATCCGGGGGGGGGAGGAGGAGAGGATGTTAGGGAGGAGGAGGAGAGGGAGAGGAGAGAATTGAGACGAAAAGAAACAGACACATGAAGGAAAGGATAGAATAAATAAAAATAAATAAATAAAGGAAAGAAAGACAGAGAGAGAGAGAGAGAGAGAGGTAACTCACAGGTGTATATTGATAACTAAGGCTGCCTCTTGTTATCTCAGGTGCCAGGGGATGATAACTACCTCCTCTGTTATTGTTATTACTTTTGTTGTTGTTGTTGTTGTTATTGTTGTTGTTGTTGTTGTTAGTTAAATTAAGTTAGGTTAAAATAGGTTAAGTGAGATGGGTGGGTGAGGAAGAACGGGTGGGGTGCCTGGGTGGGTTGGTGGGCTAGTGAGTGTCTGGGTGTAAGGAGTGGTTGGATGTGAGGGTGGGTGGGTGTCTGGGTGAGTGGGTGTGAGGATGATTGGGTGGGTGGATGAATGGGTGTAAGGATGGGTGAGTGTCTGGGTGTTTGGAGATAGATGTAAGGGGTGGGTGGGTGGTAGGTGGATGGGTGTGAGGGTGGCTGGGTGGGACAGGTGCGGGAGAGGAAGCACCGATCAATATCTGACTCTAGACTCTCCCACGGCACATCCTTCCTCTCTCCTCTCTCTCTTCTCCTCTCTCTCTCTCTCTCCCTCTCTCTCATTTCTCACCTCTCTCTCTCTCTCATTTCTCACCTCTCTCTCTCTCTCATTCTTCCCCTTCAGGTAACTTTGAGGTGTTTTAATTAGCAGGTGAAATAATCCCTCTAGTTAAACCAATCCCTCTAGTTAAACCAATCCCTCTAGTTAAACCAACCCCTCTAGTTAAACCAACCCTCTAGTTAAACCAATCCCTCTAGTTAAACCAATCCCTCTAGTTAAACCAATCCCTCTAGTTAAACCAATCCCTCTAGTTAAACCAACCTCCTAGTTAAACCAATCCCTCTAGTTAACCAACCCTCTAGTTAAACCAACCCTCTAGTTAAACCAACCCTCTAGTTAAACCAACCCTCTAGTTTAACCAATCCCTCTAGTTAAACCAACCCCTCTAGTTAAACCAACCCCTCTAGTTAAACCCCTCTAGTTAAACCAATCCCTCTAGTTAAACCAATCCCTCTAGTTAAATCAACCCCTCTAGTTAAACCAACCCTCCTAGTTAAACCAATCACCAAAACAACAACAACAATAACAATAAAAATAAAAAATCATTTATGTCCCAACAATTTATTCATAAAACAAAATGCAAGTTACAATTTTATACATAGTTGATGTATACGCATATACACTGTGTTAAGTATATACATATTTATACACAAGCATGTATACTGGGCTGTGTACATGATGATGGTCTGTATTATGTATAGTTTAGAGGTTGTGAAGACCCAATATATACCTGATTAGAGAGAGAGAGAGAGAGAGAGAGAGAGAGAGAGAGAGAGAGAGAGAGAGAGATGAGAGAGAGAGAGAGAGAGTGAGAGAGAGAGATAGATAAAGAGAATGAGAGACAGACAGATAGAGTGAGAGAGAGAAAGACAGACAGATACTTAGATTAAAATCGAATCAAATTTGTAAAGTAAATTAAAATCCTTTAAAATCGAGTCAAATTTATTGTTAAAAAATATACAAAAATCACTTTATTAATATGACTAAAATTATTTAATAAACATAAACATTAGATCAAAGTTTTTAACATCAGGGTAAACTAAATTTAACATTGGAAAAGTTTATATAAAGAAACAGGTTTAATTATTTACCTTTGAGGGAAACAATATAGAAATGTTAACTATATTACAATAACATATATCACTATACATACATACATACATGCATATATACACACATGCATATATCTACACGCACACATATATACATTACATACACACATGCATATTTACACACACACACACATGCTTATATATACACACATACATACACACACGCACACATATATACACACACACATGTATAAAATATGTGTGTGTGTGTGTGTGTGTGTGTGTACATATATACAGCACTGTACTCTCACTTATCCCAAATATTTGCGCCTTCGTTAAAATTTCCAGAATGGATTTTAGTGAGTCAGAATTCCTCGACCCTCACCTCTCTGTTGAGTCAGTCAGAGTCAGTTAGAGTCAACTTTGTGTTGGTAGAGACTAGAAATTAATTAGAGTCGTTTAGAGTCATTATAAAGAGTAATAGTTCACTCACATGTAGACAGAGTCAGATCAGAGAGCTATGTGCCGCTTCATGAGTCAGATCAGAGAGCTATGTGCCGCTTCATGAGTCAGATCAGAGAGCTATGTGCCGCTTCATGAGTCAGATCGAAGCTATGTGCCGCTTCATGAGTCAGATCGAGCTATGTGCCGCTTCATGAGTCGATCAGAGAGCTATGTGCCGCTTCATGAGTCAGATCAGAGAGCTATGTGCCGCTTCATGAGTCAGATCAGAGAGCTATGTGCCGCTTCATGAGTCAGATCGAGAGCTATGTGCCGCTTCATGAGTCAGATCAGAGAGCTATGTGCCGCTTCGCCAGAGTCAGATCAGAGAGCTATGTGCCGCTTCATGAGTCAGATCAGAGAGCTATGTGCCGCTTCACGAGTCAGATCAGAGAGCTATGTGCCGCTTCATGAGTCAGATCAGAGAGCTATGTGCCGCTTCATGTGCAGACTCAGATGGTCAGAGCGGGAGAAGGCTCTCTCACACAGTCTACACTGGAAGGGACGATCGCCAGTGTGTTTACGGTAGTGGCGAGTCAGTTCGTCCGACCTGGCGAACTTCCACCCACAGCCTTTCCACTTACAGGTGTAGGGCTTCTCCCCCGTATGGGTCCTCAGGTGCGCCTTCAGGTGGGACGACTTCGTGTAGGTCTTGACGCAGCCGGGATGTGGGCAGTTGTGGATGATGACTCGTCTCCGGGCGCGTCGTCTCCGTGGACGTGGGGGTGTGGGCGTGGTGGAGGGCGGCAGCGCGGGAGGACACAGCACTGGTGCGGCCACGATGCCTGGGGCGTGAGGTGACGACGGTGGCGTCAAGACCACGCCCGAGCCTCCCCAGTACTGATACAGGGTGCCAAAGGTCGCGTGGGCGGCGGTGTGGGCGGTGGTGTGGGTGGGGTGGTTGATGGCCGGAGTTGTATTGGGAGTAGCCTGGGTGGTGGTATACGCAGCGTGGGCGGTGGTGTAGGCAGCGTGGGCGGAAGTGTGGGGAATTTGGGAAGTAGTATGGGGGTCGTGGGCGGTGTGGGTAGTAGTGTAAGGGGTGGCCATAGCTGCAGGGTGTGGGTAGTGGTAGTGGTAGCCAGAGTACACACCTCCGGCCGCCACACAACCATACTGCTCTTGTTGTTGGTGGTGGTATTGGTGGTGTTGACGCTGGTGCCTGTGGTGAGGCAGCTGAGGCACCACCTGCAGGGGACAAACACTGTAGATGAGACACACAGGCTGACACACTACTCCTGACCTAACTCTCTTACATCACTTTAACTAACCATGAGGACTGGGCCTCCATCAGCTACACACAGTCCTCCTCACCAAGTGCTGTAGGTTAAATGGACCCACTTCCAATAGCCTCCAACTTAACCTAATCTAACCTATTAGGCGTGGACCCCATTTGAGGTGAGGCCCTATAAGGGAAGGGACCTATTAGGGCCGGGACCCACACGACACCTTAACTGAGACACCTGATACGCACCTGTTCGAAGTCGTTCTTAGCAGAGGAGAAGGCGGAGGCTATGGGCGGCAGTGGAGCAACGCCACACTTTTGTTGGGTAGCACACACGTCCTGCTCACACTCAGGGATGGGCGGCGTAGGGGGGTAAGACATGGGAGAGGCGCCCCCTGGGAACATGTCAGAGCGGGTCTCGTCCAGCAACACAGACTCCAGGTCCAGCCACATCTATAACACCACCACTTTGTTTACACACAGACACTAATGATATTATTGTGTTGATCATGTTTCATCTGTTTACCAAATACAAAATTATTAAAATGGGACATAATTAGCATCCATCTGGGCTTCACAACATCCGGCATTATACCTTAAGTAGCCGCTGCATGATACGGTTATGATGGAGGTGTAAATATATCATTAATTCACATATTTGTGTTAAGTATTTACAACACAACTTACCTCGTTAAATTCAGAGAGGCTGGAGGCTGCGGAGGGGACCTGGCTGTAGGAGGGCGGCCGCTCAGTGGCTAACTCCATCCCGCCACGTTATGTTTACTCCGTCAGTGACGATGTGGACACGTAAGTTACCTCAAGACACGGCAGTTATCCAGAGGTACGGGAACCCTCCTTAGACGTCCTCACACCAGCGCCCACCTGAGATTACTGAGGGGCCTCCACACCTGCTGGCCCGCGCCCCACCTTGATCTCACAAACAGTTGCCACATGCACGAAGTTTTCCATTTAAAGTAAGTACTGTTCTCTATTTCGGTTTCTTTATATTTTAGTTATCTAGATCTACTAAATGCTTCATACAATTCAATATACAAATCGTTATCCATTAAACACATTTGATAAAGCTTTAATTATATGTTTACTAGAAAACTGATGAGTGTATTTACTGAAGCATAATATCACTCTCCACCAATGAACATGTATCTTGAGGCTCTAAACCAATGAGAGAGTAGATGGGCGGGGCTTAGAGCGCGTCACTAGCCCCGCCCAATGAAAGGAGAGCTTTGTTGGTGCCTTTTAGGAATGAAATGTCATTAAAAACATTTTAGGAAGTAAGACTAATCCGGCGCTGCTGATAGAACAGTAGTGTGACTTTGTTCCCCGTGAACACTTACATGAACAATTTGCATAACAAGCAGCTACGTATGTAAATTCACACACACACACACACACACACACACACACACACACACACACACACACACACACACACACACACACACACACCCAACTACGTGCTTTGGTTGATTTACTCGCAAACAAAATCTCGTAGAACTTAATGTCATAAAGATCTATTTCAATAACCTGTAGAAATTATATTACAGAAGTAAACAAGACTTGTTTATACTGTGTATCGTAATGATAGATAGATGTGTGTGTGTGTGTGTGCGTGTGTGTGCTTCTTCATCCATGTACGTAAAACTGTATTCTCTGTCTGTCTCTCACTGTATGCCTTGATAGATAGAGAGAGACAGGTAGAAAGGTAAACAGACAGAGAGAGAGAGAGAGAGCAAGAGAGACAGATAGAGAGACACAGAAGAGAGACACAGACAGACGAAGACAGACAGATAGACTGACAGATACAGAGAGACAGACAGACACAGATAGACTGACAGATACAGAGAGACAGACAGACACAGATAGACTGACAGATACAGAGAGACAGACAGACACAGATAGACTGACAGATACAGACACAGAGAGACAGACAGACACAGATAGACAGACAGACACAGACAGACTGACAGATACAGAGAGACAGACAGATACAGACAGACTGACAGACACAGAGAGACAGACAGACAGACAGAGACAGACCTCCAGCAGAACATTACAACAGGTACGCTAAGAAAATATAAGGTAGTGGTGAGTCCTTATAAGTGTAAACAGAGTGACACTTCCCTAGTACTCCACATTCTTCACCCTCACTCAAGTGCCACTCAGGCAAGTGGGTCCTGAGAAGGCGGGCGGTGAGAGGGTGGGAGGGGGAGAGGGAAGGTGAGAGGTGTAAGGTATAGGTGAGAGGTGTAAGGTATAGGTGAGAGGTGTAAGGTAGAGGAATAATACCTGTATTTTTCCTTACTGATGAATATTATTACACCTCCCTCCCTCCCTCTCTCTCTCCCTCCCTCCCTTCCCTCCTCCTCTCCCTCCCTCCTCCTCCCTCCCTCCCTCCTCTCTCCCTCCCTCCCTCCCTCACCATCCACCTATCTAATAATAATAATGGTCGCCCCTCGTGCCACCTAGACGTGACTGCATTACTGTCACGTCATACCTAACCTAACCTAACCTAACCTTCCGGGCGGAGTAAGATGTATGTATTGGTGACGCTGTTGGGTATAAGACATCCAGTAAGGAGGAAGACTATACTACCTCCTCCTCCTCCTCCTTCTCCTCCTCCTCTTCCTCCTCCTTCTCCTCCTCCTCTTCCTCCTCCTCCTCCTCTTCCTCCTCCTTCTCCTTCTCCTCACACTCCTTCGATGAGTCTGTTCCTCTCCTTTATCTTTTCTCTCACTTCTCTACATCTCAGAACGAAGAAGGAGGGAGGGAGAGATGAGGGGGAGAGGGGGAGATGAGAGGGAGGGAAGGTCAGGTGAGAGGGAGGGATAAGAGTGTGTGAGTTAGGGATCATCCTACCTCGAGTTGTGTCAACACTCAGACACCAAACACACACACTAGGGGGAGTCAGGGAGAGAGAGAGGGAGAGAGAGGGAGAAGATAGAGGAGAGAGGAGATGTAGGAGGAGAGAGAGGTTGATCACGTTGGGAGAGGAGAGGGAAGTAGAGGAGAAGGAGGTGGGGGAGGAGAGGGAAGCAAGGAAGGGGGACAAAGTCGGAATCATTTATAAAAAAGAAATTAGTGGATTCGATTCTGTTCTGCACTAGAGGCTAAGTAGTAGTAGTAGTGGTGATAGTATAGTAGTGATGGTAGTAGTAGTAGTAGTAGTGGTAGTAGTAGTAGTAGTAGTAATATCACAATTATCATCACAGGTTAGAAACGTCAACTAACCACTCCCCCCTACACCTGGTGACAGACAGATCCTCATTTGACCCTTGTGGAGGTCATTTCACCTTCCCTCTGCCTCAACTGTTGAAGCAGAGGCTGAACTTCAAGGTGACAATAATGATCAGCCCTCCCCCCTCCCTACTCCCCGTTCCTTACACTTAAGCTAGCCCCCCCACCGCCTCACCCTGATTACTGTACCACCTGGTTGATGAGATACAGGTGTTTGGTGGGGGGAGGAGGTGAGGGGGAGGAAGAATTTGAGAGAATAATAATAATAATAATAATAATAATAATAATAATAATAGTGCCTTAACTATTAATAATAACTACAATAATAATAACAACAACAAACAATAACAATTACCTGTAGATCCCCTCCCCCCCCAGTTTATCTCACCTGAACACTCATTAATAATTATCGACCATTTCCCGCCAACACTGAATGAATGACATGTTTAAACCTTTCCTTAACCAGTGTTGCCAACGTCATCATTTATCTACCTGTATCGGTCCAAGAAGAAGCTGAATAACCTAACCTAACCTAAAACTCTACCTGGTCTAACTTAACCTAACCTAACGTAACTTAACCTAACCTAACATTAACATCAAATCAACACGATATAACACTAACAAAGTACTTAACTAATTCAATCATCCAATAATCCGAGTAATTATCTCACTAATGATCTCTTAAACTCATGAAATTATCCACCCAACTAATTCATCATCTTAACTACCCAATTAGCTAAATAACTAACTACCCTAACCTTCCACCCAACAAATAAAAGTCCATTTAAATCCCACAACTAATTAGACAACAAACTAAGAGTATAGAAAACGGATGATGGTTACTGAAGCAGCCCAGACTGAACGAAATGTAGAGAAAACAAACATTACTTCTTCTCTCACCCCCTCCCTCACCCCTCTCCCCCCCCCCCCCCCCACCTCTCCCCCTCCCTCTCCCTCCCCCTCACCCCTCTCCCCTCCCTCACCCCTCTCCCCTCTACCCCTCTCCCCTCCCTCCCACCCTTACCCCCCTCACCCCCTCTTTTTTTTTTTTTCCCCCTCCTACCCCTCACCCCTCCCTCACCTCACCCCTCCCTCACCTCTCCCTTCCCTCACCCCTCACCCCTCCCTCCACCCCTCCTCACCTCCTCACCCCCCCCCTCTCCCCCTCCCTCACCTCACCCCCCCTCTCCCCCTCCCTCACCTCTCACCCCCCCTCACCCCCCATCCTATAAGCCTAAGTGACCTGGGGGAACAATGGTCGTATTGTAGGGGTCAGGTGAGGTCAAATGTACACGTGTGACTCCCAGGTGTTAACAGCCTTTGACCTTTCTCTCGTTAATTCGACACCTGCACCTTCCGTACATACATACATACATACATACATACATACATACACTACTAAATTCGTATGGGTCAACCTCTCCCTTGACAAGTATCTGTGAGCATCTGACCACCACCACCAAACTGTCTACACCTGTCTACCTGTCTACACCTGTCTACCTCCCTCTCAACTCCTGTATGTATGTATGAGTGAATTCTTAAACACTTATTCCTACATTCTACTTATTTAACTCACTTTATTACCCCCAAAACTACTTATTTAACTCACTTCACTTATATTTCACCCGGCACTTAATTTCCACTTATTTTCCACCATTCCGGAACAGAAAATAAATACCAACTAATGAAAACAAAAGATAGATTCATGTAAACATTGACCAAGGTGTTAAGAGGAAGAGACGAGCCTATGACCATATAAGACGAGAAACTCCCTCCCATAGTAACTAGTAATGTGTCCTCCTCGGCCAGTCCTCCCTCTTACGTCAGCGCCATCTACTGACTGAAATTAGCAGCATTACTCTAGACACTGAGATAGGAACTGCTTTAAGTCTCTCTCTCTCTCTCTCTCTCTCTCTCTCTCTCTCTCTCTCTCTCTCTCTCTCTCTCTCTCTCTCTCTCTCTCTCTCTCTCTCTCTCTCTCTCTCTCTCTCTCTCTCTCTCTCTCTCTCTCTCTCTACACACCACACAGATAGACACATTAAAATAACTTCAACACAGAAATAATACACAAGAGAATAATAATAATAATAATAATAATAATAATAATATACAGAAATAGAATGATTGGCCTTACCTCCTAAATGTTTACAGTGACGTAATATAATGCTCTACTGTACACCTACACCTTTACCTGTAGACTTACCTGTAATTGTGGTTTTACCTGTATTTGTACCTATAATTATACCTGTACTGTATCATTTACCTGTTCCATACATACCTGAAACCATAAAATAAACATTACAAACCTAACCAAACCTAACCTAACCAAACCTAACCAAACCTAACCTAACATAACCTAACCAAACCTAACCAAACCTAACCTAACCAAACCTAACCTCAACAGAGCCTAGCCCAAGCCAAGCCTAACAAGCCCTAACCCAAAACCCTAGCAAACCCTAACCTAACCAGAAACTTCAACCAGAGCCTAGCAGAGCCCTAATGACCTAACCTAACCTAACCTAACCTAACCAAACCTAACCAAACCAAACATAACCAAACCTAACTTAACCAAACCTAACCAAACCTAACCAAACCTAACCTAACCTAACCTAACCTAAC